GTCTCTCTAGTGTCCAGCCCTAACTTTGTACATTAGATATCTTTAGCAAACACTGGATGAACAAATATAGCAATAAAAGGGTAAGCCTAAATTTTAGAGCATTCAGAACTCAATTGCCAAAAGGTAAGTCTGCAGCGCTAAAGAATCCTCTCTGGTTACTTCTTGTTATGTCCAGAACAACATTTCATTGATTTAGCACAACTATGCTGAACAAAAAGTCCTGATTGATGTTAAGGACAAAACCACATCCTGAACAACCGTAACTATAAAAAGCCAGTGATGTACTTTGCAGAAGTGAAGGCAACCTCCAGGACCACTGGCTGCTGCCTTCTTGGGTTAGCTGGACTGGCTGGTTTGCTCAGGACCTATCTTTTGCTAGGGAGGATGTTAAGGATCCTTGAGGAATTAAGATCTTTTTAATGAGACAATCCAGAACTATCTTTAGATACTGTGTTAGCACACCAATGGTTAAACAGTGAGATGCTTTAAATGTTAAGTGTCATATTTGGCACTTAGGGACTGAGTCCTTAGGCTGGTTTTGTCAGTGGTTATACACAAAAAAATTTCACTTCATCTTCAAGAAGCTAGCATGGTAGATATTTGTTGTTCTCCAGTGAATGAGAAAACATCTGGTAGCAATAACACTGTGGTTGTTAAAGGAGAAAGCAGATACTAAGCTGGGTAATATGTGACATGTAATCTGTGTTTTGATTAAATTTGACACCTGCCAGCAGCTCCCAGCTGTCCCCAATTCCCTATCTGTGAGAACACAGTCCCCCAAAGGTTTCAGTTTTGATCAATAAGGTTATCTAAGCTAGCTCATTTACTTGTTATCTCTTAAATTTGTTACGGATCTAAACTTTAGGAAGTAGATCAAAATTATTTTTGAGTTCAATAGGGCAATTAACCACTGCTAACAATTAACCATTGTTAATAACATCAGTTAAAGCTTGAGTGAAAATGCTGTTACAAGTTTTTCACAAGGATTCCTTCATTTAATCCTCACATCAACATAAAGGATAAGTCCTATTACTTTTCTCCCCAGTCTTACATTAAAGAAGAACTCAAGTTTTTAGAATATGCACAAAATTTTGGTAATTCAAAGTAAGCTAACTTAGGAACAAAGAGATGTTTTTAAAGATAGTATTTTAAAATCCTAGTAGCATTTCATTCTCTCAAATAATCACTCTCTAATATCTTTTCATGACTGAATGACTAGTTCACCTAATCATTGGTGATGGTGTAGCTCAGGAGTCAACAACTTTGGCTTCCTGACTAGCCCACCACCAAAAAATATACAACTCAAGCTAAAAATTATTTGGCTTTTACATTTTTAAATGGCTTAGGGGATAAAGAAGAATATTCTGTAAAACATGAAAATTGCATGAAATTCCAATTTTGATATCCATAAATGGTTGTTTGGGAACATGACCACACTCACTGGTTATGTTAGCTGGGGCTACTTTTGCAAGGGTTGAGTGGTTGCTACTGAGAACCATAAAGCCTGTGTCATTTACCATCAGAAAAACTCACCCATCCCTCACAATAAACTTCAACCCTACTCCTGTTCAAATTATTCCAGATTCTGAATTGGCATTGACTTACATTTAAAAAATACTTTGCCCTGGTTTACATAAAGGGCAACTTTATTTCCTGGAAGAACATGCTGTAACACTTCAGCTGACAGAAAGGTGGGTATAAATCAGAATCATTGAAAAAAAAAATCAGAATCATTGGATATCAGCACATCAATCATGTAGTGCTTGGAATTTCAAGGAAATTCCTCTTGCCCTTTGGTTTGCTTTTCCTTTACCAGAAAGCTAGACTTCAGCTTTGGCTCAGCAAACACTTGGCTAATGTTGACTCAGTCAGAGCAGAAGGAAACCTGGAACTAACTCCACACTGTTTCCTGTTGGGTCCCTGAGAGGAGCTCTCTGGACATGAGCACTCACCACAGTCACGTGGCAGCCTTTCTTTGTGCATTAGCTGGAAAAAGTCCTGTTTGTGTGGAACAGGAATGGCCCTTCCAAGTCAGGGCTGGCTTCTGGTGTGTGACCTGCTTCATTGGAAGAGCCTGGGCATAGCTAAATATTTTGCTATCACATCTTGAAACTCTTTTTTTCTTTTTTTAAAATTTATTTATTTATTCATACGAGAACTGGGGTGCAGGCCAGAAGTGCGAGCAGTCACTAGAGACAGTAGGTAGCAGAATGATTGAAATATACTGCTGAGGGGCACAGAGCAGGGGCGAGACAGGTGAAGTCTGCTTTGCCATATGTGGGTCAGCTCTCTGGCCAGGGATCCAACTCATGATGCAGTGGCTGCCAAGGCTGTGGATAGCTTCATAGTGCTGTGATTTAATCTGTCGCACCACCAGGAAGGGTCCCCCCAATCTTAAAATTCTTGAGCAATTTTTGAACAAGTAGTGATCCTGCATTTTCATTTTGTACTACAAATTTTGTGCTAGTCCTGCTTCCAAATGATGGTTCTATATAGGCTGCTGAATCTCAGGAAGTGTTCAGGAGAGTTCTTACATAGTGAGTTTTTTGTCTATAAAATGTACCCCATGGGTGAATATGTAGGACATAACCCTGTAGAGCACATCTTACCTTATCTCAAAAACTGTGAATTAAACTTAGATCCTTAACTCCTCTGAGACTCTTTGTTCTCAGTTGTAAAATGGGTTGATGATATTTATTCTGTCTGGAGGTTGTTGTGAGGATCAAAAGAAGCAGTATAGTGATAGCATGCACTTGTGAACTGTGACACCCTTAAAGAAATTCAAAGTGCCTTCTCTTCACCGTGAGGGTAGAATGGGAGAGGCCACAGGACAGGAAGCTTCCCAGGGGTTCAGAGGCTGCCTCATCACTGTGCCCTGCCAGCCAAAGAGTTTCCAAAAACAAAGCATGCCCTGTGTAAGACCTTTCATTGAATCATCTCTGCTCTTAGGCTAATATAGGGCTTTGTCACACTGCCCGTGGTCCCTCAAGTACAGTGTCTCTTGTGCTAAAAAAGATCAAATGAAGTAAAACTTGAATGGTATGTGAAAGCAACCCAGCAAAGACCTGGACCATAGATATTTCTATCCAAAATGAATTCAGGGACTCCCTGATGTTGCAAGGAGTTAAGTCAACACCATGAAGGGGTTAAGTTGTCACCCACTGCAGCGTGAGTTCAATCACTAGCCAGGGAACTGACCCACAAGGCACAGCAGACCTTTCCTGCTGCTCCCCACAGCAGTGTATTTTAGCTCCCCACTCTGTCTCTGGTGAATTCTCTCACTCTCACATCTCTGGCCCACACCCCAGGTTTTGTATGCATAAATAAATAAAGATAAATCTTTTTAAAAATAAAATAAAATGAATGCAAGTCCAAGTGCCTTGTTCAACATGCCACTCATGGCATGAGTTGAGTACCTGGAAGGGGAGAGCCAGGTCTTATTCTTCTCCCAGGACCTAGACTACTACCTAGTCTGGAATGGATAAAAGTAGATGGGTTAAAGGCTAGGCTTAGAGATGGGCAACTTGATCGAATCTTCCCTTGGCTCCCTATTAGAACTATGACATTGGGCAAATCACCGAGCCCTCAGAAGTACCTGCCATGGTGCCTGGCACAGGTAGGATGCCAGGATGAGAAAGATGCAAGTCAGTAATTGATGGTCGATGAATTGTAGCATCTCAAGATTGAAGTATGAATAGCAGTGACTTTACTGAAACAATTTGCAAATGGGAACGCTTACATTGTACTAGCACTCATCATTCAACCCCCAATAATATACAAGTGAACTATAATTGTTCAAGGTTACTGTTGTTAAATTTCTTCAATGACTACTAAAAGACATTCAGTTTCAGATTCTGATTCTGTATTCTCTCATTTTTTTGTATCTCTTATTAATGGATAGTTTTCCAATGAATGTTTAAAGTAATAACACTGTGAACCACCTACTCTAAGAAATAAAAGCTCCCTTTTCAACTTGCCTTATCAGACCTCAGTTCAGTTCCCTTCAGTGTATGGATCCACTACCTTTCAAGTGGTCACAGTTATTTTGTAGTTGGTTTTGTTCCTGAGAAGGCAATTTCTGAATAAAATGTAGAGAATAGTTTTATATTTCTGAACACAACCATCTATAGTCCTCTTCAACTGAACACTCAATAATTTCAGGATGAACCGTTTCTTCCCAGAATCATTCTTAGAGGCTCTGTTTGGAGACATAAACACATCTGTTTAAAGTAATCAACGCCTCTGCAGAAAAATACACGCAGTTTTGCATACACTACTTTTCCCAGGGGGTTTATGGGTCCTATATAGCCCATAATTGCTGAAGTGTCTATGACTTCAGTTAGAATCTTTACCTTATCACATTCATTACCAGTAAAAACTGCCCCTCCAACCTCTCTACCTTCCAGATGTATTTGCATTTTAATAAGAAGAAATGTGGTCCAACTGAAGGGAATCAACTTGTTGGTGAAATCTGAATTTCAGGCTCTAGCAAGGATTCAGTAGCGGAAATTTGAACAGGGGAAGCCATTCCTTTTTTTTTTTTTTTAAGATTTATTTATGCATACAAGAATGGGGGTACAGGCCAAAGGTGTGAGGGTGTGGGGTGAGAGGACCCACCAAAGACAGAGTGGGGAGCAAGAGAGGCAGATATTCTGAAATACATTGCTGAGAGGAGCAGTGGATAGGTCAGGAGAGGTCTGCTAAACCATGTGGATCAGCAGCCTGGCTGGGGATCGAACTCGTGCTACAGTGGCTGCCAACAACTTCATAATGCTGTGCTTTAACCCCTTGTGCCACCAGCAAGGGCCCGAAGCCATTACTTATTTATTATTGTGTGGTATATTTAATCTTTTTGAAAATTTTAAATATAATTATGTTCATTACTGAAATAGCCCATATCAAGGATTTAAAGGTTGAAATCTTGACTAAGCTATTTGTAAGCCAAGATCATGAACATAAAAACAGAGATTACCCAATGGTAACCCACTGTTGTTTTGCAGGATGAAAACTCATATTATATCAGTGAAGTGGGAGCCTATTTGATCGTCTCAAATCCAGGTGAGCACTTAGAAAAGGCTGTTCTACCAGTGATACTTTCTGATTAGTTCATTTTTCATCTCACTGAATCTGCTAATTTTTGATGCTGCTTTTGAGAAATACATTGTGAGAGTAACTGACGCAATCACTTTGGAAGAACATATGACACCTCTGTGTTGCTCATTTTGCTCACCTGCTCATGAAAGAGGTGGAACTTGAGGTGTTGGAGACCAGGATCAACAACAGAAGCTTACTGCCCTTTTGGCAGAACTGTTGTTATGGCCTAGTTTATTCTGTTGAAATTACACTTTCATTCTAAAACACAACTAGTGCTTGCTAACACCAAGCTACTTTGTTAGGCAACAGGGATCTATAATTACACAATCTTAGAGTCCCTGCCTCTTGGAGCTTATATTCTAGAAGAGGCAAAGGGAACATAAACAGACACATTAATTAAATACAGACTTAAATAATGATAAGCTCTATGGGCAAACAGTAGGGTGAGGTGATAGGAGTGGAAGGCTACTTCAGGGGAGGAAAGCCCCTCTGAGGTGGTGGGATTTGAGCAGAGAGATATTCCCACTTGGGAACTTCTGAGGCTGGAGAGGCTCTTTCAGGGCAGTAAGAAAATAGATGCACAAGTCCTAAGGAGTGAGCTAGTCACTAAAGTATTCAAGGACCAGAAGGTCCCAGTGCATGCAAAAGAATAAGGGAGGTTGGCCCTCTCTGATGGCACAGCGGGTTAAAGCATAGCACTGAGAAGCTAAAGCCACTTCAGTATGAGTTCGATTCCCGCCTGCCCCGGAAGTGACCACATGGCGTGGCAGACCTCTCCTGACCTGCCCACTGCTTCCCTCAGCAGTGTACTTCATAGATCTGCCTGTTCTGCTCCCCGCTCTGTCTCTGGTGAATCCTTTCGCTGCCCCTGAGCCTCTGGCCTGTACCCCAGTTCTGTATGAGCAAATAAATAAATTTTTAAAAAAAAAAAAAGAATAAGGGAGGCAGCAGATGAAGTCTGAGGATGGCCAGGCCAGAGTGTTAGGCCTGTGTCTAGGGCAAGGTCCAGACTTGGGATTCCATGCCAAAGTGTTAGAGAATGCCACTGGAGTTTCAGTGTAAGGAGAAGGACAGATCAGAGTCACATTTCTAAAGTTTCACTTTGCTGTGTGAGACTTTGCTGTGTTGAGAGAACCACCACAGCATTGATGTGTAGAAAAGTAATGCCCCCATTCAAGTCGGGGCTGTTTCTCAAGGTCGCAGATGTTTCTCACTAAGTCAAGACTTGGATAATAAACCTTTCTTGGTTATCTTCTCTGTGACAGATACTGAACTAAGGATTTTAAGTCTGCTTTCTCCTTTTCAAACGTCTGTTTGACTTCAACTTATTGTTTTATTAATAAAAGCATGTATACTAAAGAAACTTGTGGAGAAACAGTAAAAAGTAGTTTGCTATTCAAGAAGATGTAATTGTCAGTTAAATGCAAGATGTTGTAGTTGACAACTCACACTCACCTATATTCATTCATCTAGGATAGTCTCTTCATGTTGACTGGGGAGTAGACATTGTGGATACTAACATACGTTAGCTATCAATAGGTAGGGACCACATGTTAGCTAACAATAGAGTAGTAATCTCTTCACGGACGGGAAAGGCCCCATGATGTAGACTTAGCAGTAGCAGTAGGAGCTGCGGTAGTCAATGATGTCCATGATACTCCACATTTCCTCATCTGTAAAATGAAGTCTTACTACCTTAGTACCTCAAAGGATTGTAATGAAATTACAACCAATCAGATGTGCTCTCTGGAGCATGTAAAATACTTGTACATTGCCCTGCACACCCAGGCGAATATACCCACAAGGGCAGGAAAGGAGGGAGACTTCCAGGATTTTTCATTGACAATCTGTAGGCATTCCTCAGGGGCAGAATTTCAGTAAATTCACTGAGAACCATCATCTGGATCCCACACATCCTGGTGAATTCAATGAGATCCATAGTTCTCAACTCACAAATTCAGAATGCCAGCTTTTTTCATTTATCATGCAATTGTTTCTTACTGCATGGGACCAGACAGTTGAATACATTAGCTAATGAATTTTCTCCTATTAGGAGAGAAAAATAAAGTATACTTGGAAGGGTACTTGGTGAACATGGAATTAGCGCAAATGGCATTAGCTATAAGATTAACGTTTTTTTTAAGATTTATTTATTTTTGCATACAGAACTGGGGTACAAGCCAGAGGTGCAAGGGTGGTGAGAGGATTCACCAGAGACAGAGTGGGCAGCAGCACAGGGCGACTGATGAAATACACTGCTGAGGGGAGCAGCGGGCAGGTCAGGAGAGGTCTGCCGCCATGTGTATCACCTCAGGGGCCGGGGATCAAAATCTTGCTGAAATGGGTTTAGTTTCTTAGTGCTGTGCTTTAACCTGCTACACCACCATTTAACCTGCTGCACCACCAGAGAGGGCCAGACTAAAATGTTTAACAGCATCTGCCTCGAAGCGCAGGCCTCTTTGGTAATGGTCTTCCTGTCAGAGCATAGGGCCAGTCTTTGAGTGATTCTCTCCACACAGCACTCAGGCAAAGACAGGCCACTCATAAAAGCAGGGGCACATATAGGTTTGCCTTATATGCCAGGATTCTTTTATGTCTATGGTTCACTTTGTGTTCACAGAGAAAACTTACAAAGGAATGAAAAGTGCTGTGATGATGTTTGAGACTGTGGTCGGACATTCCTTCAAGTGTGTGAGTGAACAGAGCATCCAGCTGTCCGACCAGCTTCAACTGAAAACAATGAATGTCCAACTTCAAGCCTTTGACTTCGAAGGAGTCAGTTTTGGAAATGGTGAGTTAAGGGGTCATCATATTACAAGATAAACTTCAAAGACCATGCACACACACACACATACAATCTTAGGTACTTTTGGAGAATACTTTAAAGATCCAGAGTATTAGTGATGTCTAAAAACTAAGATTTCAAAATCAGTCTTCCCTATTTGGAGATGAAAATTAGAAATTTGCAGTAATTCAAGATAGAAGCATACATGATTGAATCCCTTCTCAAGTACAAGCTGCTCCACTCAAATAAAGTACCCTTATAGTTAGTCTTGGTTCCCATCTAATATCTGCTTTGGGTTTTCATCACCACTGAGGAAAGCAATTCCTAGGAAGAGGGCCAGAATGCCTTTCCCTAGAAATCCCTGTTTTTTCCTGCTACAAAAAAGGTATTACAGGGCTTTCTATATATGACCAGAAATTGAACTTCAGTTTCTAAAACATTCCTCTCAAAACAACAACAAAATCCTTCTCATAATTACTCAATGACATAAATATCTCTCAGTGATCAAAAATGCTTTAGCTAATATTTAACATTTGTTAAATTAAATCTGATTTCTCTTTAATTTCCTTTATAAAATTAAAGATGTGCCAAGTAGAAGAATTTTTATATACTTGGTATGAAGCAGTTAACATTAACAACTAAAGTGCTGCTGGCCTTGACTGCCCCGATTTCTCCAAGTTTTGTCTTATCTTACATTCTCAACTTTTAGTTTGGTTCCTTACCACATTGCTAGAAATAAATATTAAAATTTGCTCATTAGGGAGGCCCCCACTTTGTCATTTGCCCCAAGACTTACAACTTAAGGAAACTTTTTTAAAAATTCATTATGCCGGTTTAGAAAACCTCTGTAATTAGTCATGTGATCTTAAAAATAAGATGTTGCTTATTTTTAAATGAGCTAACAAATAAGACCCTTGCTGTTCTTCCTAGTTGGAATGAGTATGAAGCAGAAAAAGAGCAGATCTCAGAAACAAGTTAGTAGCAGACATGAGAAATAAGAGATTGCACACCTGACCTCTATTAGCAGAGCCTAGAGAGATGTAGGCAAGTCAGCCCTTACTTTTCCTCCTCCTTCCCATCTGTTCAGACAAATAATAACAAAGTCCCAGCAATTTTACCTCCAGTTATTTCTCTTGATCATTCCACTGTCATTGTTTCAGCTTAACTCCACATACCCCATCTCTGCCCTTCAACTTCACTAAAGACACTACAACACGACATGTGTATTCTGTAGCTAACATTTCCTATCAAAGTAAGGGAAGAGGCGGAAAAGGAGCAAGTTTAAAAAGCCACCATATAACAGGTATACTAAAAGACAGTTGCACAAACGCTTGTGGTGGCACAGAGGAAGGTGTGCCTAACACAGTGTGGGGTGTGGTAGACGGTGTCAGAGAAACACTCACCCATGGGTGACAATTCTACAGGGGCTAAAAGAATGAGAAAAAAAAAGTCCAGCAAGTGTTAACTGTCAGCCTGGTCAAAAAGAACAGTCGTCTCAAAGAGCAGGCTCTAGACTCCCACATTCTCAACCCCTCCTCCCTAAAATTGCAGGGTCCTCTAAAGGGTGTCTCCAGTACCAGGTGTCCCCAACCATCAAAGATCCTCTTTAAGAAGCACAGTTTGAATAGAGAAGTTTGACCATGTGATTTGGTGCAGGTTCCTGTTTCTGTGGCTTCTGGGTTTTCCTTAGCTTGAGAGTCAAGAAACAATTCTAATTCTGACCTTCTAGACCAAACCAGTATTTCACACAGTTAAATCTGCCTCCTTGATGCACAGAATCCCTTGTGGTCCCCCTCCAGCCCACTGAATCATAATCTACTGGCTGTGGAGATCTGCAGTTGAATGCATGTTGTTAGTGATCACAAACACTGCAAATTTCATATGGCAGCGCTGACCCTTGCCCTCCTGTGTTCACCCACCTGTGTATCAGGGGTGGCAGCAGGAGACCAAGCAGCTGCATCTTAGTTTCCTTCTTGGTGAAGCCAAGGCAGGCAGAAGAAGTGTTACATCCCAGCCTGTGGCCAACCTATAACCTGTACTCTGACTTCAATTACAGCTGATGAATGCTTCAGTGACAGAAACAGGAGAGAAATCCCTGTGGCTGTGGGCCTGAGTATCGCAGGACTGCTTGTCATTTTGCTAACAGCATGCCTGGTGTCCAGAAAGAGGCCCAAAAGAGGATATGAACGCATGTAAAACCCACCTTCTTCAAAATGAGCAAGGTTAAGGCCTTGGGAATTCTGACTCATTCAGCCTCAAGTGAAAGGATGGACTTTTCTAGTTGCCTGTCCTGTCTCCCCAAGCTAGGAAACCTGCCTCACCACCCAAGGCCCATCCAAAGGCTAGCTAAAGGGTAGCCACTACTGCACCCCCTCCCATAGCTTGGGTATCCTGTGTTAGTGGGCTTGGATTCTGTCTTTGTCAACTGATGACGCAGAGCTAGCTGCCAGAATAGGGGATGAGAGGGGAGCCTGGGAAGGGTACTTTGTGAGGCCAAAGCAAATACCCATGGAGGGACTTGTGAGGAAGACATCTTCGAATTGCTTTGATCTTTTTGGCACATTTGAAGGAGTTTCAATATCCAAATTGTCAAAAAAGTACTTTTTGAAAACCAATTCATTTAAAAATAGATTCATTTAAAAACAGACTGATTCCTTTTTATTTATATATCTATTTATATTATTGTTCATTTTAAAACGTTTATTTCCCCTCCTCCGCCTACCCATCGCCACCACAGCCCCCCACGTTCCTCCCTCCTTCTGATCCCTCTCTGTTCCCCTCCCTGTAGAATCTCTCTGCTTTATAGTTGTCTGTTTAGTTTTGTTGTTTTGTATTGTAATAACAACACACTTTTTCTGTCTTATGTCTTATCTGCTTCTCTTAAAATCCTCCTCTAAGTGAAATTTTTCAATATTTTTCTTTTTCCTGGGCATGATCCCTTCCAACTCCATTGATGTTGCTGCAAATGGCATGAGTTTATCTTTTTTGATTGCTTAGTAGTATTCCACTGCATGTATATATGTCTACACACACCCACACCCACACGCACACACACATACCACATCTTCTTGATCCAGTCATCTAGTTTTGGGCATTTGGGTTGTAAAAACAGACTGATTCTAGTGTGACTTTAGTACTATATTTTGCCCAAACTCTGACTTACTAATTACACTATTGTAATATAATATTAGTAAAACAAACAACAACAACAAAAAACTAGAAAGTATTTCACTTTTCAAATGTAAAACAAAGACCAAAGGTCTTGGTAAAAAAGAGACAACCAAAATGTCAGTATCAAGTCTTCACTTTCATTTATCTTCTGCCACCCTAGCCCAAGATTTATTTATGCATGTAGAACTGGGGTGGGGTACAGGCCAGAGGTGCAGGGGCGGTGAGAAGATTCACCAGAGACAGAGTGAGGAGCAGAACAGGCAGATGGACAAAATACTCTGCTGGGGGGAGCAGCGGGAGAGTCAGGAGAGGTCTGCTGCACCATGTGGTCACCTCCGGGGCGGTTCCAACTCCAGTGCCAGCCCTATTTTTCTTTTTTGTCTTTAATTTTTGTTAACTTTCATTGCCAATTAGGAATTTTCCCAGAATGATATACATTAACAAATTTACAGGATAGGGTAGGGGAGGAATGTAAGATATCAAAACAATCAGAAACGGCATGCAGACAAGGCAAAAGTACCCAGATCATGACCCACTTCCCTTTTTTAGCAAACACTAACAAAAATAGATAAATCAGGAACTTCCTAATTGGCAATGATTAAGATCTGGAAGGAAAAAAATTATATAAAAATATGTGCTGGGATATTATTCATGGTTTTCTATGACATTAACTATTTAAATATGGTAGAGCGTTTATTTCAGAGAAAGCAGAGAGTAGTGGACTTGAGTTTTTTAAACTGCTTTTCCTAAGAGGAAGTTTTCTTGTTTTTCTACATTTTCCAGAGGTGCCATTCATGATTTTAATAGGAACTTTTTGAAAGTTGGCCACACTCTCCAATACTGCTTATGGAGGACACTTATAGCCTTCCGGGGAGTTGTATTGATAGCTCTTCATGCTCTCTCAGAAGTGGAGGGGCCGGCAAGTACGCAGCTGCTTGAGGCTAGTTTCAAGAGCCCCTGAAAAAGTGGAGAGTACTAGGAAGTTCCTGGGACCCACTCTAATGGGAGTGGGCTGGAGATCTGAGATGTGAGGACCCTGTGTTCTCTTCACTGACTCAGGTTAGCAGCCTGGGCTTGGCTTTGGAGAGAAGTCACCTCTCCATCTCCTCCCGGGTACAGGCATCAAGTACCCAGTTTCTAGTTCTGCCTGAAGTGGACTTGAAAGGGTCTACAATCACAGAACACAGGTTTTTTAATTCACCTTGTCATGAACCTTCGTGTTAAAGGACAAAAGCAAGGTTAACTTTTCAGTATGTGGAAATGTCTCCCACAGCAGATGGGCAAAGGGGTGAATTTCATATCAAGAGGAGGGCCTCCCTGGTGGGGTATGGCTTAAGTCTCAATGCTTAAGTCTCACTGTCATCACAGTGGTATAAATCACTGTCACTCAGTGAATTCTGAGTTCCATCCCAGCAGGGGAGATGACCCACATATGGCACAGTAGTCCTCTCCTGTCTCACCTGCTGCTCCCCTCAGCAGTGTAATTCAGTGGATCTGCCTGTACTGCTCCCCACTCTGTCTCTGGTGAATCCTCTCACCAACCCCCACACACACCTCTAGCCTGTACCCCAGTTCTTGTATGCATAAATAAATTTTAAAAAATAAATCTTTGAAAAAATAAAATCAAATCAAGAGGAGAGGAATAAGACAGTTCCTTTCACTATCTTCAATTCTTCAGTGAGTTCTTTGGGAGTGATAGCTGCTGTTTATATTCCTGTTAACTGCAACTTCCTGCGCCACCCTTCTGACAATGCTGTTTAGAATTAACTTGAATTAACATTCTATTATGTTTTTTAAAAAAGCATAGGTTTCATTTGAATGACTATTAAGTAAATGCCTCAGTACATTATTAGGCCTCAGTTCTACTCACTTTCTGCAGTGACGATCTGGGAGCGTCAGCAATGGGGCTAGGATTGAGATGCTTAATCCCCTCCATCTCTGGGGTTCTTGCTCTTGCAGGCTTTTCCTGTCTCCTCGGGCTGCAGCTGGGCAGCTTGTTAACAGGAACGCTGCTTGTGCTAGCAGCGATTTGGAGGCTGCTGTGCATAACTGAATGTCTGCAAGAGCCTTGTCTGATCCTCTGGCATCTCTTGCTCCCTGCTGTCTGGCCATCCAGCTGGTCTTTGTTCAGGTTTTCCCTTCTGCCAGAGTAGAAGTCCTGAAATTGTCCTTCTCTGTCAACTCCCACGGAGATTATAGAACTCCCAGTGGAGATAATAGAAGCCTCCCTGAAACACACTTGGAGACACAGGGTATTGTTAAATTCGATGTATCTCCCTCTGGTGAATATTGTTTTACATACTGGAAGCACATATCCTGGTATCTTTTTCACCTGTGTTTGATAAGTACACTGTAATGAGTGTGCTTGTAAATATACCATCAACATTATACTGTGATTAACTCTTCTGTTATTGAGAATTTTTACTGTTTCTAAGTTTCAGAATTGCACATTAGTTACATATAAAATAAATATTGATTAACAAATATGGATATATATATATGCCTGAATTTTGCTTTTGCTCCAGAGTAGGTCATTTTAAATGGATACAACTTTCTACAGCACTAATTTTTAATTTTATGAAAAAACAATAGCAAAAGTAATACATGGTTATTGTGGGGGAAAGTAATACATAGTAGATGACTATGAAAACTATAAACACACACAAAAATAAATGCAATGAATAATGGGAGTTAAAATGAAGACTAAAATTTTGCTCACAGATTTTTCTTCTTCGCTATAGAATAGATCGCTAGTGGGGGTGGAGGGGTAAACTGAATAAACACAGAGACTGATAGTTGGGAACTGAGGGTCAGGCCCAGACCAGAAGAGCCCTGTAGGCTGTAACTAGTTCCCAAGGTACAGAAAAGAAAACAGAATCAAGTAATATGTAAAGTCAGAAAAGAAACAACAGGTCACTGTCTATAATCAGAAAACAAACAACAGGTCACTGTCTATAAAGTCCTCAGGGAAATAAAGTATGACCCAAAAATATTATCCAACTGTGAGGATAGCAGGCAGATAGCATCAAACATGACACAGTTCAAAGGATACAGCACCAACGATCTTTTCTTTAAGACTTATTTACGGTGCCCTGGTGGCACAGCGGGTTAAAGCACTCCACTAAGAAGCTGAAACCACTTCCGCATGAGTTCGATTCCCGCCTGCCCCGGAGGTGACCACATGGCGTGGCAGACCTCTCCTGACCCACCCCCTGCTCCCCTCAGCAGTGTACTTCGTTGATCTGCCTGTTCTGCCCCCCACTCTGTCTCTGGTGAAGTCTTTCGCCACCCCTGAGTCTCTGGCCTGTACCCCAGTTCTGTATACACAAATAAATCTTTAAAAAAAAAAAAGACTTATTTACTTATGCATGCAAGAACTGGGGTACAGGCCAGAGGTAAGGGTTGGTGATATAGGATTCACCAGAGACAGAGTAGGGAACAGACCAGGCAGGTGGGTCCACTAAAATCCACTGCTGAGGGGATCAGATGGAAGACAGGAGAGGTCTGCTGGGCCATGTGGGTCAGCTCCCTGGCCAGGGATGGAACTTGTGCTGCAGTGGCTATGGATGGCTTTACAGTGCTGAGACTTAACCCCCTGAGCCACCAGGGAGACCCCCAATGATCTTTTCTTCAAGGTACTGCTTGATCATGAAATTTGATGGGATCAGAGAGAAGCCATGTCATAAACAAGGAAATAAATATTCCTCAGGAAAAGAGAAGCCACCATTTTTTTTAAAGTCTGTTTTTCCTTTTAAATACTGAAATACTTTTAAATATAAAAGCACTAAACAATTGTGAACCAGTGAATTTCTTATATAGGAAATGATATTTGTACATGGTTATTGTTTACAGTATTATTTGTAGTAGCAAAATATTAAACACAAATGATTAATCAAGGAGAGATTAAAAAGCTATCGTACCTCCCACAATTATAAAAAAATTAGAACATCTGTTTTTATGTATAAATAAGGAAAGATAACCAGAATATATTGTTAGATGAAAAGAACATAATGCTTAATAAGATAAAAAGGAAGAAATAAAAATATACAATATTTTTTATTGTACCTACATAAAGAAATATTGGAAATTTTCTAAGAAACTAAACATCACCTAATGGGAGCAGAGGGACCTAAAAAGATGGAGCAAGGGTAGAAGTTGAATTTCTGAATATATCACGTTCTATCTTATTTTGATTTTCTAAATCATAAAATGTCACATATTTAAAACCATCTTTATAAGAGTGACATCTATCAAATAAAATTGAAAACTTATTCAAAATTTGGAGTTGGGGAGATAGAAGAGAACCTATTAATATTAATCTCTCAAAATAATATCAGTCTCTCAATTGGAAACACAGGTTTCAAAAGCACAAAATGTGACTAATTTATTCACTTCAAGGCATTTCATAGCCTTTAATGTGTATTTTTAAGCTTTAAATAGATATTTATGAAATAACATTTCCAGTAACCAAAAATAGGAAATACAGTAATTCCACCAGGTTAATTTAGTTTTTTCTTCTATCATATTCAAACAAAATTAAAATGAACAATTTTATTTTATGATCCTATTTTAATAAAAATTATTTACTTTTCTATGAAAGTGTCATTATAGTTTCAAAGAAAAGCCTGAAATAATATTTGTCTATGGTCGCAATGCTAATTTCTGGATGTGTGGTTACTTTTTACATTTTTAAATTTTTTTTAAAGATTTTATTTACTTACATATACAAGAACTTGGGTACAGACAAGAGGTGCGGGGGTTGGGGAAAAGGGGAATCACCAGAGAGAGGGTGGGGAGCAGAACAGGCAGATCAACTGAAATACACTGCTGAGGGGATCAAACTGATGCTGCAGTGGCTGCAGATTAACTTCACAGTGCTGTGCTTTAACCCCTTGCGCCACCAGAGGGGGCCCCACTTTTCATGTTTTTATTTGTGCTTCTCTGAATCACTTCAATTGTTTATAATGAGCAAATATAATTTTTTTTAAATGAAGTGATTTTTCTTTAAGCCTACACGTGAGCACACACATACACACATCTGTATGTACAGGGAAGCAAATGCCTGGAGAGCTTTGCAGGAACTAATTCAAGCAGAAGAAAAGTAGTAACTGGAGCAATATTTTCTGTATTTTAAAAAACATTTAACAATGTCATATTAATTAATACAAAAATCAAGTCAATGAAAAGGAGAAGTTGCCCTACTTCCCATCCCAATTCTCACCAACACTCTGTGTGTCTTCCCACACAAGCACGCCTGCACACTTGTGTGGGTTTATGTCCTGCTTCACAGGCCCTGGGGAAGTCCCATCAGCATGTAGATATAGTCTCTGTAACAGCTCCATCATATGTTATCATATAAGTGAGCCATTTTATATTTTTTTGATGGCTATTTAGATTATCAATTTGCTTTCATAAGATGAAATTAATTGTACCATGTTTGTGTGTATTTACATGAATAAACCCTTAGTATAAATTCCCCTTTAATTTTTGCTATAAATTTCTGGGTCAATAGGTCTGACTTAACATTTTGTTTGAACATTAAAAATTTTTTTCCCAAAATGATTTTAATTTCTTAACTAGTCAATGTTCTTTCTAACTGAAAACATATGCATAGATATATATTAAGTGATATGTATAAATAACACAGCTATTATGAATTCAAAAGGGTTTCTCATGAAAAGCCCCATTTCCCTGTCCTTCTCCAAGAGACAAAGCAGTTTCACCTGATTTTAACAATGTTTACAGTAATTATCTCCACCATTCTTTTAAAAAGTAATTAAAAATAAAAAATTTAAAAATTCTTTTAAAAAGTAATTCTTCATTTATTAGCTTTAAATTTCCTGCGATGGCAGGTAAGGATACTCTTACACCATCCTTTTTTTGGCGAGATCACTATTTTTTTGTTAAGTTATACATTATTGCAAATTGTGTAACTACTGCACACTATAAATACAGTTCCTATCTTGGACAAAATTTGGTAGTCTTTAATAACCATTCCCTCTCTCCTGGTTCCGCTAGATTCTTTTCTTGGCCCTCCTATGCTTAGAGCTGGGTTAATGGTGAACCCCAGTGCAGGGCATGGTTTCAGTACTGGTTCATGCCAGGACCTCATGAATACATCTTCTTAAATCCTTGAGTAAGATGTGTGGGTGTTGATATAAATATATATGTGTGTGTATATGTGAATATATATATGCATGTATGTGCGCACGTGTGTGTGTATTTGTATTTAGTTGCATTCCCTTTTTATCACCAGGCCTCTACAGATTTTTTCCAGTCTGATGTGATCACATTTTAAGTGAACCCATTATGTATGTACTCTAATGGAATAAGAAAGAGTTTTGACAAATTTATAAATTTTATCTTAAGCTCTCAGAAATAATTAAGTCTCTTTTCTAATATTTTTAGATCACTAAAAGCAATAAAGAAAAGTTTTAGTGTGACAAAGTTGTTTTATAAAGTAGATGAATATTACATGTTTTCAAGAGATCATTTGGAGTCTTATGATAATCTCTTTCATAAGAGCACATCCCTCTTTGCAGAGCATATTCCTGGGAGAAAACAGAGTTAACAATTATTAAATATCTGTTATTTTCTAAGATGATCAACTTATTGCATTCTCAACAATCTTATGATTTGCTTATAAGTGTGCAAACTGTAAGGTTAAATCACCCACCCAAGGTCACAGTTAGTGGCTAATTTCAAAATCAAGTCCAGATTTGACTCCAAAATGCACATTTATCGCACTCTAGTTGACTTTGTGGTTTGTCATCACCAAACTTTACCTGCTATATTCTACTTGTTTTTTCTCTTAGTGGACGAGTGCTCGTCTGACTACACAATTGTGCTTCCTGTGATTGGGGCCATCGTACTTGGTCTCTGCGCTGTGGGTTTGATTGTCTATGGAATCCGCCTAAGGCGTGAATCATCTGGATACCAGAGAATCTAATTGGTGCCAGGGGGGAAAAACATAATGCAGTTTTAGAGGATTGTTTTACTGTTGTGGGTCTTTCTAATGCTGTAAACCACTGGCAAAATCCAGTCATTTCTGATTTAAGGTTAAGCATTTAAGGTTAAAAATTTCTAAATTTTTTGTGTTGATTTTGTAGAAGATTTAGTGAGCTGTTTTAAGAGAATTTTCTAGTTTCCTTCAAAATATTTTAGCTAGATTGTGTAAACATTTGAGATATTTTAAATTAGCATGATGGATGTTAAATGGACTATGCCTCCAAGTTATACACCAGAGCATCAATGTAATTATCATTGTCTGTGTTCACAATGAGAATTTTATTTTATTTAAAGGTAGTTTCCATTAAAAAGAAGAAAAAAGGCCTCTGTTTTGTCTATAAGATGTATTTCAGTGCTTTTCTTGTCCATGTTTTATATGATATACATATGCCTACTTTTCTCTTTTTCAACTTTATATATTTTTAAAATATCATTGAAAGAACAGGTTATTGAAGCTTTTGATGTTACACCAACAAGAAAAATGAATCAGCTTAGCGTTTTTATCTTGTTAACACCTGCTCCAAAATCACTATGAAGTAGTTTCCCAGAGACACAAACTCAAACAATAAGCAAAAAATAATAGTAATAGTCATTTTTGAATGTTTATGTGCCAGATGTGAGGCTAGGCAGTTCATATGCATCTCATTTCATCCTCGCAACCTACAGATGAGGAAACTCTGTTAAGAAAATTCACCCCTTACATGTTATCCAGCTAACAAGTATCAGAGCCATGTGACCCACACTCAGCCTAAGGTTTCTGGTCTTTTCACTTCACCAAGTTGCCTACAAAACAGCATGAAGTACTAGCTGAAGCCTCCACTAGTATATGTTCAATTTAAAAAGAAAAAACAAACTTATTTATTTGTTCATACAGAACTGGGGTACAGGCCAGAGGTGCAGGGACGGTGGTGAGAGGCTTCACCAGAGACAGAATGGGGAGCAGAACAGGCAGATCGTACGCTGCTGAGGTGAGCAGCGGGGGAGGGGGGGGGATCACCTCCAGGGCAGGCGGGGACCGAACTCATGCTGAAAAGTGGCTTTAGATTCTTAGTGCAGTGCTTTAACCCGCTGCGCCACCAGGGAGGGCCATATGTTGAATTTTTGACAGAGGAAATTAATTTATCCAGATTCACGAGAGATTAGGACAGATGAGTGTGCACCTCTCCATAATGAAATGGCCTATTTTTATAATATTCTCTACTCCCTTTAAGACTGAAGGGACTCTAGAAAATTCGATTCTCATTTTTCTGGGATTGTTTAGCTGTGGCTCTAAAGAAGAAGGAATAGAGAAAACTTCTAAAGTTTTTTTTTTTTTTTTTTTTTTTTTATGTTTTCGTTTGGTTTTTCGTTTGGTCTTTCGAAACAATTTCTAACCACTAACCAACTCTGTTATTGAATACAGAGCTCCCTCTTGCGGTATCTTGCTGCTCTGCAATTTTTAGCCACATCTTCCTCTTCACTTTCTTCTTTAGAACAGCTTGCCCAAATTTTTCTTCTTCTTTCTATGAAAGGAACTAAGTTAGAACATCAAACATAAGTCTGCATATCCCTAGCATTCTTTAGGAGAAGAGCAATTCAACTCACCTCAGAGTACATACTGACTTGCAGACTTGTTCTTTCTTGAATCAATAAAGTTGACAACCTTTTGATTTTAGTCTTTAAGAATACATTGAATTGTATTAAAAGTTTTTGTAATAAAAGCTTATCTTGGTGATTCATTCATGTCATCCATTTCTTATAACTCAATTTTCCAGCTATAAAAACTTTTATGATTTTAGTGGTAGCTTTTTAATATAGAAGTGGTCATTGAATCAGTAAGTTAAATAATCCTTCTGTGAATAACTTATTTAACTTATTTTATTCTATTCTCCACTGTCAGACTATTACTTGATAGGAAGTCCCTATGTGAGAAAAACTAAAACTATAAGATGATTAACCACAGTAAATTTACAAACTAAATCTTTCAACTCTACATCAGATAGACTTATTCGATTACTTGTTTAAGTGCTGCCACAATTCATTCATTCATTCATTCACTCACTGACTCACTCATTCATTCAACTAATATTGACTAAGGACTTACAAAATGCCAAATATTTTGGTAGGGGTTAAGATAAATAGCAAGAGATCTTGTATTAATTATCTTTAGCTGTATAACAAGTTACCCCCAAACTTAGCAGCTTTCAACAAAAAACATTTATTATTTACACTTTTTCTGAAGTTCAAATATATGAGTACAGTTTAAGTGGGTGATTCTGGTTGAGGGTGTCTCCCAGGTAGCACTTAAGCTTCGGCCACAGTCGCAATCATCTGAAGGTCCAAATGGCGCTGAAGTTCACAGCAAGTGGCATATCCATAGGGATGTTCACAATATGACAGCTGGCTTTCTCTACGGAGAGTAACTCAAGAGGGAAAGAAAGACCACTTAGTTACAGAAGTGACTAGGTGACACACCATCCTGCAGATGGGTGTGATCACTAGGAGAAACTGAAATCAATTGGCACCATCTTGGATAATGGCTACCCCAGCTCCATTGCCAAGGTGAATATAATGAAATGACTGGTTTACTTTGAGGGGAACTCAGGTAAATAAATTCCAGCATGCACACCAAGAAAAATACATTAGTAGAAACCTATCCAAAGGGGAGTGGGAGCAGGCCCCTATCCACCCTATTTCCAATGTTGCCTCTTTGTAATGCCTACTCAGGAGAGCAGCCTCTCAAACAAAGCCTTGTGTTGACAGTCAGTTGACCAGCTCTGCTCAGCTGAGCTGCCTTTCCATGCAGGCTGGCTGTTCTCCCACTGCTCTAGACTAGTGAAGCCAGGGTCCACCTTTCTAAAGGCAAGTTACCAGGATGATACCCACCACCTGCCCAGCCTGCCCCCATTTTGTTTTCCTTCTCACACAACATTTTCTAGTAGAGAAGGTCCTGGATCCCAGTGGGTGCTCCCCCCTGAATTTCCTCCTATCTCCACCATTAGAGCTCTAAGCCAACCTCAGCCATACCCAAAGGCCAGGAAAGTTGGAGGATTCAAAGAGATGAATCTGTCCTTTCTGATCTAAATGGCTCAGGTCTTGAGGATTCATAGAGAATTTTTCCTTTTTCCAGCATAAAATAACCTGAACCAAGTACCTTCACTCTCACCTTATTGTCCCAAGAATATTCCAATTTGGGGCAAAGAAGAAGTTGCAAGTAGTTTTGTTTGTTTTATGTTGCTTTGAACTTAACTGGTTTTATATTAAAAACCAGGTTAGACATGGACAAAATTAGGAAGTAAATTCTGTTGACAAAATTCTCAAATATCTTATTTTCCAAATTTGGCCTCCTGATAAACTTTCTTGTTAGTTCTCATGCATTGCTCCAATTTCCTCATATCTCCAGCATCTCTGCATTCCTACTCCAATTGCTTCAGCTTATCTCCAAAATTTTTCATTTGTTTAATATAATTCATTAAAGGGTTATATCTATCCCACCTAATGCCACCTGTGTTTTGTCAAAGCATACTATTTAATCCAAGTTTAATGCTTTGATTTTAAGATTCAGTCCTAAGCACAAGGTTTGCAAGACTAACCTTGTAAGGTGGCAGAATATCTACCAATTCCCTCCCACCTATCAGAGGATGCTAACCACACTTTCTGCAAAGAGAGCTATGATTATGAGATTCTATACTCACATGCCTTTGTAACTGTGCAAGCTATTGGGTAGACATTTTTTAAAGTCATAGAAAAAAAAGACATCTTAAATTTTACTTCACAACTAGGTGAGCTGTAAATAATAGATACCCAGATGCCAGGTATCAAATACCCAGGTTATTTGAGAACAGAATATTTTTTATAGCTAGGACCCTCCCTGGTGGCACAATGGGTTAGAACACAGCATTATGAAGCAATCCACAGTCACTACAGCAGGAGTTCAACTCCCCACCAGGGAAGTGATCCACATAGCATGGCAGACCTCTCCTGGCCCACCCTCTGCGCCCTCAGCCCCAGTTCTCTAATGATTTGAACCTGATTACCAAGCTTAAAAAAATAGTAACTCATCTGCGGCCCTCTAATCCATCACACTTCAACTTCCTTGATTGCATCTGTTCTCTTTTATCTTTGCTGTTTTTTCTGCTTTCCTTTAATTCTCTAAATACAGATAGGGTTCTCCAGATAAGCAGAACCATCAAGAGATATACATTTTTACACTACAGATGAATATAATATACAAATGTACATATAGATGTATATAAGTATGTACTTTATATACATATAAAATTATGAAATCAAGTAACATACAGAATATATTAAATTATATGTTGACATGTAACATAAAACAGTAAGTATATATTATATTAAATGTTATGTTTTATTTACTATCATACATACATACATACATAATTCATGCACACATACATATATAAATGTGTGTGTGTGTGTAATTTTATATCTGGAAATTAAGAAAGAAGTTAACATCACAGCCTTTAAACAGAATTATTTTTTCTCTGGCAAACTTCAGTGTTTCCTCCAAAGCTTTCAACTGGCTGACTGAAGCTAATTCACTTTAGTGAGAGTTGAGACTACTCTAAATTCAACTGTTTGTAGATATTAACCACATGCGCTGTTTTTACTTAATTTTCCTGTGAACCCCTTTTTAGCTATATCAGATAAGCATTTGTATTTAGTTATTTCCCGTGTCTTTACTTCCTAGATATCCTGAAGTTTTATTTTTGACTTACTCTTTTTCCCAACAGTCAATTAAGACTATTTTGAAAGCTCAGTTTTGGCTTTTGAATTTTTGTTCAGTCTTTTATTTTTGAGAACACTGGAGAATTCTGCCTCATGCTTTCAAGCCTATTTCATCTTTTCCCCATGACTCCACCTCCTTCACTTTCTAGCCGCTTTGATGATAAAGATCCCGAAGACGGTTCCTCTTCAAGAAGCCGGACGATTAGGAGCATCCTCGCGTACCAAGAAATAAACGAAGAACCGGAACCGTCAGTTCTAAAGAGGACGACTTAGACAACCTCTCCCCCAGTAGGCGCGTTTTCCAAGAGGCGTGGGAGACAGGGACCACGCCCCCGCGGGTCTGCGTCCCGCTCAGCCAATCGCCGCTAGGAAGCCATAATCCGTTCTTTGATTGGTTTTGGCGGCGACGCCCCCACCAACAGCAGGAAAAGGCTAATACTTTATTTGACCTGGACGGTGGCCGGCAGAGGACAATAGGCTCGCGAAGCGCAGGAAAGGATCTGCAAGGCGTGGAACGCAGCTGGTGTTTGCCGGTCTTGGAGAGCCGCAGAGCTTCAGGGACATGGCAGCGGCCTCGGCAGTGTCGGTGCTGCTGGTGGCGGCGGAGAGGAACCGGTGGCAGCGTGTCCCGAGTCTATTGTTAACGTCCAGGTAACTGGGAACGGGGTGGTGGATCAATGTGCCGGAGCGGGGGTGGGGGTGTATGGGCGCAAGCTGAGAGAGGTACGGAATGGGGAAAGGAGAGATCAGGAAAAAAATGAAATCCCTATTCTTTTCGGAGGATTCTGCTTCAGTTTCGGCATTGAAGGGGAGACCATCGCACACCCTTCCCGAAGACTGCTCTTCACTTTCTCCCTCGTTCCCGAAATCCACCCGTCAGTCCTCCTTTTGCCTCTTCTGTCAGTTATGAGATGGGGGTGGGGGGTGGGCACGAGGGGAAGGGAGGAGGGTATGGAACTGGACCCTCCTTGGAGATGGACCTGCCATCTCCAAGTGCCCCTTCACCTCCTCGCCCCATCCCTCCTCACCCCACCCTACCCCTCCTCACC